CCCCCCCCCCTGAACTCCAGGCCCCTGAAGCTCATAGCTGCAGCCCTGTCACTGACTCCGGGGTCCTGTCCCTTTAAGCCGGTGCGGAAGTGAACACACATCTGATGTAAGTTGTGTGTAGAAGGTCAGAGCTTCAATCCGGTTCATGTCAATGCTTCGCTTTTCAAACCAAACCGGTTTCCTGGGTTTGTACTTTACCAGACGAGCTCTGCACACACGCTGCCGCTGAACCTGCTGACAGCCGCTCACTCCCGGGACTTCGCTCGGTAGTTGGACGAAGTTGACATTTTGAATTTCATTGATTCTGTCGCCTCTGTCCTTCCTCGCTCATGTCTGCGGCCAAATGCACTCGGTTGACCGGGGCGCTGGGGAAGCAGCTGCTGGAGTCGGTGGACAGCGTCCTGTTCGACTGCGACGGGGTGATCTGGCGCGGGGAGCAGGCCATCCCCGGAGCCTCCGAGGTCATCCACCTGCTGAAGGAGCGCGGCAAGAGGGTCTTCTTCGTCACCAACAACAGCAGCAAGACCCGGAGGATGTACGCCGACAAGATGTCCAAGCTGGGCTTCGACGTGCGGGAGGAGGAGGTGTTCGGTACCGCGTACTGCTCCGCCGTGTACCTGAAGACGGTGTGCGAGCTGCGGGGGAAAGTCTACCTGATCGGCAGCAGAGCCATGGAGCAGGAGCTGGAGGCCGTAGGGATCCAGCAGACCGGGGTGGGACCGGACCACGTCTCCGGGAAGCAGGCCGACTGGGCCAACGTGCCCCTGGACCCCGAGGTGAAGGCGGTGGTGGTCGGCTTCGATGAGCACTTCAGCTACATGAAGCTGAACAGAGCCCTGCAGTACCTGAGCCAGCAGGGCTGTCTGTTCGTGGGGACCAACAGGGACACCAGGCTGCCCCTGGAGGGAGGCAAGGCAGTCCCAGGTAGGATTCAAACTCACACACCACTGCTCTCCTGTCAAATATCAGAGATCCATTTAGTTCAGGGATCCCAATCCCAATCTATCTATCTATCTATCTATCTATCTATCTATCTATCTATCTATCTATCTATCTAAGATATAAGGTTTTGATTAACTTTATTTAAAGGTTCAGTGTGTAGAATGTTGTGACATCTAGTGGTGAACTTGCATGTTGCTCATAAAAACTCAAAATGTGTTTAGTTTGTTTAGTTTTGACAACTGTAAAAAACACTGTGGCCTCCGTATAGAGGACCGACTCCCGATGTAAATGTATTTAAATATAAAAGGCCCATTTTAGGGTAAAGAAAACAGCAATTCATACAATTTAGATTATTACACACTAGTGGAAACATCAATAGGGTTGTTTTATATAATGTATACACCTAAATCTTACACTCTGAACCTTTAAGGGATGGGAATCACAAGGTAACTCAGGATACATGGCCCACGATAATGATAACCATCCACTTGTCTGATTTTATGCTGTATTGGTGACCCGAAGGCAGTTTTCCACTCGTAGTGGACAATTAGGTTCTATTAATTAACTAACTCATTCATTCATTCCAATACTACGATGGAGCTCAACGCACTGCAAATTAAGAAAACACATGCAAATAGAAAAAAACAACAAATTATTTCATGGTAGACAAAACACATTATATAAAATGTGTCACAGAGCTCAGATTTTCTTTTGATGGCACAAAGAATGAAGTAAAATAGTGATCTGCAGTTACATGAAGCAAAAGGTCACATCACCTCCTGACACTCGCTCCCCCCCCTCAGGTACAGGCTGCCTGCTACAGGCCGTCGAGACTGCCGCCCAGCGCCAGGCCCAGACTGTCGGCAAACCCAACCACTTCATGTTCGACTGTGTGGACTCCCAGTTCAGCGTGGACCGCAACCGCTGCCTGATGGTGGGCGACCGCCTAGACACTGATATATTACTGGGCTCCAACTGCGGCCTGAAGACCCTCCTCACCCTCACAGGGGTCAGCACGGTGGCTGATGCTGAGGCCCACCAGAAGAGCGGTTGTGCAGAGAGGCAGGGGATGGTTCCGGATTATTACGTGGAGAGCATCGCAGATCTCCTCCCAGTTCTGCAGGGATGAGAGCGCCCCTGGTCTGTCGAGCAGAAGAGTAGCTACGTGATAGCCTAGCTGCTGCACATCTGAGGAAGTTGGGTAGCCTGTCACACGCCAGTGTTCATCGTCATTAAAGCTGCTTTCAGACTGGTGCTGAAGTCTGGATATTTTGCTGGGATTTTGCGCAGGATCTGTACGTGAGAATTCAAATGTCAGAGTCAGTTGCTCTGGATATTTTCTGGGAACTGAGTCCATTTGAGAATGCAGCAGGAAAATTTCCAGTGAGCAAGTTTGCATGTTGATGAAGATGAGAGTCAAGAGCCTTTACCGGCATGTTCTACGTTGACGCCACCTCGTCTGCTCCTGACATTTCCCTGTTGTTTTTTTCCTGCTGCGTTCTTCGTATGTAAACGGCAAAATCTTGATAAATATGTAGACTTAATATTCCGAACATCTCATGAGGTCATGTATAAAAGTGGCTTAATATTCAGAACATCGCTACAACAAACTCACAACTGTTGTGTGACAGAGGAGACAAAAAAATATTCTAGAGCGGCTACCCAGAGTTCGTCAGCACTTTTGTCGTTTACTAAACCATTACATTATATAAGTAAAGGATTTATAACATGAAAAAATTGACTTCCAGTATTGTTTCAATGCAATTTTTAAGTGTTAAATGGAAGAGTATGTAGTTTTGGTTCCTTTTTTGGGTCAAGGAGAGAGGTGGTGTACTTTGAAAGACCTGATCCTGTGTGTGGTGCAATCTCGCCTTAAGCAACATGTCAAAATCAAGAAGGGAAATAAGCAAACACACAGTTTCAATAGTTCGGTGAAACGTGTGCAAGCAGATAATACAACTAAAATGCACTGACCCTTTATGACTTGAGCTTTGTATATTTCAACACCTCAACAGATTGTGCTCATATTTGCTTTTACACTCATGGAATTTTGAAATTATATCCAGTCCTTTTTGTCTGTCAAGTTATTATTGATAGATTTAAGATCATCTGTCTTCCTTTTTACCGTCCACTCTCTGTTCCTCCTGCTTTCACTGAAATCCAGTCTGTAATAAAACATAATCTGTCCTTACTGCATCCATCTCTGCTTTCTGTTCAAAGTGAACATGGCTCACTTGCCTCTTAACCCTGCGCTTAAAGTCACCTTGGGGCTTGTCATCGGCTGGATTGCAGCAGCATATCAACTCTCACCTGATGAGAGAGACTTTCCCTTTGTCCTTTGTGCGGCCCGGGGCGGGCGGCCAACTCCTCATGTGAGTGCACGTTAAGAATAAGAGTGAATGAAAGGATGGATGATGCTAAAGAGGCACATTAAGTCATATCAGGCAGGAAAGACGAAGGGAAAAAATGAGGAAATTGCAGGAAGACAAAAGCGGATTCAGGGTTTTTTTGTGTGAAGGGACTGGAGAGGTAAAGGAGGAGGAGGTGGTGGTGGGGGAAGAAAAAGGTGGGAGGTCTGACAAAGAGGAGCTGACCAGGTGAACGGAGTCTCAGTCGGCGCTGGTCATGACCGCAGCTCCATGTCGATAGCCACAAGAAGGCAGTGAGGAGCCGTCAAGGGACACAGGATGGTGACGTGTTGGAAACGATCAGAAAACCGCCTGGAGGAAACTCAGTGCACGGTAAGAACACAGCTTCTAATTCAACTGAAGAAAACTGAATGATGGAGGGATTTGCATGTGAGGGGTCAAGGAACCCTTTGGGTTTTTGTTCTGCATGTGTTTCCAAACGCTTTCCCACAGTAGCAGCCACACAATAGGACAGAAATTGGCAGCAATACAGTAGTTTTCAAAAGAATATTGTCTAATTTTCCTGCCACAGTTGAATGTTTACGTCCTGTAAACTCAAGTTCTTTTTAAAGAGCTTGTCATTAGCTTTTATGTGTGCTAACGTCTCTTCAGGATGGGGCTCCGCCTGCAGCCCTTCAGTCCCATTTCCCACATAAGGCATTCTGGGTCAGCCTCTCAGCCTCTCTGCTCTTGCTCGTCATCACCCTCGGTGTGACGGGGCACCTCGGGCTGTCGCAACCCCACTCTCAGGTCTGACCCCTTCGCTGTAACTCCCACGTTGTCCCTCACTCGGCTGCCTACAATAATCCCAATGTGTTTTTCATGTAGCCTTCACAGATCGTGAGGGTCTCGGTTCAAGATCAGACTGGAGTGGTGATCAATCAGTCGGCGGTGGTGGACCAGCAGAATGACCTGGTGACCTTTTCGGTGACCTCGCCGGCAAATCAGACGTCCACCGTGCTGTTCGATGTCAAACACGTGCGTATAGGTGATTTACAGTATGACTCACATGCTATCTACATGAGAAGTAACGCTATTGGACAAACGTCTGTCTGTGTTGCAGGGTTTGATATGTTACAAACCAGTGGACCAGGACACCTGCTTCCTGCAAAAGATGGAGGAGTCTGATTATGACAACGTGCACTCCCTCCTTCATGAGCAAACACACCAGGTAACGGGCACGTGAGAACTCAACGGTTGAGGGTTACATAACGGGCCCCCCCACCTCGCCGCGTTCAGGATATGTGAGTCTAAATTAGGAAGAAGAGAAAGCTGGGGTTGCCCTTTCAGCTCTGCCAGCTTCCTCTAAAGTCTCTGCCTCACTAATGTGCGAACTGGCGTTTCTGACTCTGACTCACAGCTTTTTTATCCCCTGAGCCAGGATCTGCTGGGGTTCATATGTTTTGCATCACTTCCCACTCTGTACAAAAGAGAAAGGTGAGGCATACAGGGCTTGGAAGGGCCGGCACAGTCCCCCCCCCCCCGTCTCTCTCCCGCCTCCACGGCTGAATTCCTCAGCACATCTGATCCTGCCAGCCCCCTCGGCGTGCCCAGGATCTCTTACAGGAGGCTTCACGGCTGCGAGCCTGAGCCCTCGAGCGAGGCACAATGGCCGCTCTGTGTGAGGCTTTTAAGACTCCTCTGTTGGAATTAATGCAGCCTGAAGCATCTGTGTTTGTCTGCATGGTGAAAAATACCCGGATTTTTAATGTTGACGTCCATATTTCATCATTCTCCTCAGTCCTGCTGAATTCAGATGGGATTTGAATGGGAGCATCTGATTCTCAACTGTTATCTGAGGAAACGAGCAGGTGAATGGTCATGTTGTCGTCCAGAGATGTGATGTGGGACCTTGCAGGGATTCGGTTTCTCTGCCTGATCATAGTTTTTTCTTGCACAATAGCCCATTTCCATGCATCAAAAGCCGCTGAGCAGTTTTGTGATCCCGTCCGGTGGTGTCACGTATCTCAACCAGGCTGCAAATCGCAGACATTCAATCTACGTTAGGTGGAATAGAGAGAGGATGGAGAATAGATGTAGTTTGAGGCACAATGGTCTTGGTCACTCAGAGCGGAGGAATACTGGCTGTTATGTGCCTCACTCGAGCATAACAGCGCTCTAAGTAGCTCTGTATCGAAGCCAATCAGCAGCGTAAGTGGCACAATTATTTACCGCCTTTGTGATGAGCAAGAAGTGGGACCTCGTTGACCTCAGCAGAGGAGATATCAGCAGCTTCAGTTTCAATCTTTTTCTTTGTCCTTGTTCATATCTCCATTGCTTTCACTCAAATATATTCCCATTACCTTGAAACTGTGATGTGATTTCTCACACTTTTTTAATGACAATGCAGAAGACAGAACTTCTCGTTTGTGGTGGATTTTTGTGCTGAGATGCTGAAATATTATTTGTCTGCTCAGCAGAGTCACTTCCAGCTGTCTGGGAACGAGACACAGAGGCAGACAGAGTTCCTGGGGGTGCTGGCAGCCAGTCAGGTGGAAGTGTCCACTCTCGAGGAGCCTCTGCAGGCGCTGTGTCATAACAGCTCCGTCCACTGGACCAGGAGGGCAAACGGTGAGGACAGTCAAAAAATGAGAGAATAAACTAAAAAGGGTTGTTGTGAAGAGATGTAATGTAAACGAACCACATCCTTTCACTGGTCATGTCCTACTGTATTAAGACGAGTCAGTCCCCTCACACAAACTGTATCAGTGGAGAACCACGTGTATTCAAACAGGAGTACATTAACTATTTACTCCTGAGTAATGTTTGGTGAAAGGTTCTATGCTTAACAAATGATTTGTTTTCTTAGGTTTGAGAGAATTTAGGGCTTTAGGCCTTCTGGATTTTTCATTGGATTTGAGAACAATAACAAAAAATTTGACTAACACCAGCCTTATCTGATTATTTACCTGATAAAAAGTGAGAAAATAGTCCAACATGTCCATTATAAATCATTTCAATGTGTTCTTCACATCCATATGGTCAGAAACCACAATGAGTTTCAGTAAAGTGTCATAATTGAGCAAATTCTCACATTTGAGAAGCAGAAATGCTGAACCTGACATTTTATTACATTTGTAGCCAACAATTTGGCTTCATAATAAAAAAATAAAAAACGTGAAAGCCTTTATTTGTCAGCACCACAGAGGCTACGCATGCATGGTTTTTAAATTTGATCAGCTTACAACTCCGTAATGCTGCTGAAACTTAACCCTCGTCTATGTTCATTGACCTTTCCACTTCGGCAGGCTGAAAAAAAAAACACCTGGTACTTAACTGTACACCCACTCATCAACCTAATACATGTGGTGCTGAATGTGAATTATGTGGAAAGACTGCTCTTCTTGACATGGACCACGCGACCGTGACATTTTGTGCTTTTTCTCCACCGATAAAAGGCTCAAAATTGTATTCTGGGTCTTTTAACATTACATATGACACATGCCATGTTGCACCTACCGGTGGAGACTATCTTCTGGACCCACACCCACATTTATGGAGGCTTTAAAAAAAACTGGAATTCGTTATGTTTTCAACAGCATCATCACATTTCTTAAAAAGAGTCATCATAGTCTTCCTCCCTCTCTGTCTCTCAGGCCCGGGCAAACAGAGGCTGGTCTACTTCTGCATCGACATCTGTTTCCCCAGCAACATCTGTGTGTCTGTGTGTTTCTACTACCTGCCAGAGTGACTGTACGTGTTCACTTCTTCTCCTCCCATCAAACAATCAGGGAAAAGGCAAAGTTGTCTTTTTAGGTTTCCCTCTGCAAGACCGAAAATTGTAAAAGAACAGAACAAAAGGCAGCTTTGACTGTTTCCTTTGTGCCATACAGCCGCCGGTAAACCAGTTTCCACCCTTCAGAGAGAGCAAAGACATGAAGACAGGCTGTCACAGTTATCGCCGGAGCCCCATCGTCACCCCCTTCATGTGAAATACCCTCTGGTGGCACGCTTCAGAGATTACAGAAGAAAGAATCCCTTTTTTTGGTACATGCCTCCAATTGTATTTCCTGTAACCCACTACTGCAGTTGTATTATGTGTAGCCATTCCTGTTGCAGTGTTTTGATCTGCCTAATAAAAGATGTTGGTTAATTTGTCTTCAGTTTTTCTTCGACAGAGTGAAAAAATGAAAACATTTATATTATCACCATTTATTCTCAATCCACGTGGAATCATCAAGAATAGCACATCTTTAAATATAGAGCATTAAATGAATTATCATACATGACAGATCAATTATGAAGGTGAAGAATAACGTGGTCCTTTTGGTTCAATAAATACAGTGTACTTATAAAAACAAAGACTTGAAATTGTATTTGTTTCTGCACTGAGAAATGAAGTTAAAACCTGTGGGGAAGTCGATAAACACTATTGTGTATTTTCATCAGACTCAAACCTCAAGTCCATAATTGAATACTTACAGGCATCTGGCAGGAAGAACCGTCATTACGTTCAAACAAGCCCCTGCTTTCTTCCAAGATAATTTCAGGGAGAACTTTTTTAAAAATTCCCATTGATGCCAAGAGACGTACATCGTCTGGTTTTGAGTCACATCTTCCAAAGAGTCTTTATGCCACCCCCTGCAGCGACCGTCTGCCATGTCCTGCCAGTTCACCTCCTTCCTCTTCAGCCCAGCACACTGTCATTGAAGGCCAGACACACCACAGCCTTCTGGTGGCCGCTGTATTCCCTCTTGATCTCACCGGTTTCCACACACCACAGGCGAGCCAGGTTGTCTGAGGACGCTGCGGACAGAAGACAAACTTATATATATAACTTACTTTATAATGACGGTCAGCTAAGTCATAACACTACTGAGTGAAAGATTATTCTTACAGAGCTTCAGAGGCAGGTCTAACTACAACCACAGACCACATATAAAGATGGACGATATGACTGCTGTCCAAAAGCTTATCATGTCACAATGAAATGGTTTTTCTTAGTAGAGTGTCTTGAAATTGCGTTGTTGCTGGGGCGCGTGTACTGACCAGTCACAATATACTGGGAGTCTCCAGAGAAGGCGCAGTCCCACATCCAGCCTCTTGACGTCTCTCCGGGATTGTTGCTCTTGATGCTCAGTTCAGTCATGAGTGAGAAATTGGACGTTCTCCAGATCTTACAGGTCTGATCTGCTGAGCAGGTGGCGAGTAGTCTGGAGGTGAGGACAAACACAGGCAGTTTATATCATCACCATCAGAGCAGTAAACTGTTTTTTTTTTTGAGAAAACAAAAGCAGATATGGTAAATAACAGCAGTTTCTGGACAGCTAGTGTGTAAAGAGAGGGATACTCACGTTGAATCGGGGCTGAACTTGCAGCGGAGCGAGTAGCGTTTGTGTGCTGGGATCTTAGTTTTGGGAATGAGCTGAGTCACTTCATCTCCGATGCCTCCAGCGAGGTTCCACACGTAACAGTTTCCCTGTTCAGGAGGACAAAGGAGGGGGTTTCAGTTGTAGGATTTACCTTGACCCTCCACATTATTTGGACTGTTCGTGCACTGACCGAGCTGTTGACTGCCGCCATGTAACTGGCATCTGGGTCAATGTGGACTGAGTTGATCGAGACCTCGGGCTCAGGAATCAGCTGTTCGTTGTGGTCAGTCTTGAGATCCCAGATATGAATCACTCCACTCTGGTCTCCTACAATCAGCTCGGCCTGAAAGACACAACATCAGCGTTTCCTGACCTCATCCAAAGTAATAAAATAAACACCCATTTATCTCAGACTATTAAATAACAAGTAACATGTCAGTGGCTCACCTGGTTAGGATGCAGGCAAACACAGTTGATTGGAGCGTTGACTTGAAAAATCCTCTGACACTGCAGATTTCTTGACCTATAGAAAGGAGCAGGAGTAAAAGTGTGAATATATAGAGATTATCATATACGATGTGAGCACGCATTCCCATACCTCAGGTCCCAGATGCGAGCCATGCAGTCCTCTCCCCCCGTGTACATCCAGCGCCCATCTTCATGGAAGCCCACAGACGTGATGTTCTTGGTTACTCCATCGTAGTTGATCACAGGGTTGGGGTTGTTGGAGTTCAGGTCATACATACGGATGTGCTGATACCCTAGAAAAGATTGAATGACATAATGAAGCCATGACTTTGATTAAGCAGTCCAAGTATTAAAGGATTGGAAGAAACAAAACAAAAAACTTCACCAACCTGCAGCTGCAATCATACTCCTGTCTGGTGTCACCTCAAGTGAATTTACTTGCTGGCAGGAAATGTTGAGGTTTATAGTTTATTATTTATTATAACATTTAACAGCTAGGTTGTAATCATGGATTCACTATAAGACAACTCGAACAAGGTTCTCTAGAGCAGAGGGACACCATGAAATGCTTATGTCATCTAAACACACTGGAAAGACTTGTCCTACTTATGAAAGACACCTCAGACCACATTTTCTTCAGACTTCAGGAGACAAGATACTGTCCCTGGCCGCTTCTAACACCCTGTGAGTGTGGAGGATACAGAGTCCTGGTGCTGGACGGTCCTGGTGCAGATGCCGCTGTGGGCCTGCCAGAAGCGGACCGTGTGGTCGTAACCAGCCGTGGCCAGAATGACCGGGTCGCTGCCCACCGTGCCCTGGTTCACGTTCATGCTCGATACCGCAGGGAGGGAGGAAGGTAAGACACTGAGGAGCAGACAGGCAGACACTTACTGCAGCGTCAGTGCATTAAACACAACGTGGTGCGTTTATTCTCGTGCTGTGTAAAGAAAACACGAATCTTACAACGCACAGGCTAACGTTAGCAAAGTAGCTTGACTCCGCCTGTCAGGGAATTCATACAATCATCTGACACACCGTGTCTTTGTCTTATTGTAGGAAATAACTTACAACAGCTTCTGTCTCTAAATAAAGAAAAACAAAGAGAAAAGACAAGTTGTCTTTACCTTCAGTTGATGTTGACGATGAGTTTAGTACGTCCCTGTAATGTGTCCCCTGGCAACATGTAGTAGTTTAAAAGTTCCGGGATTCTTAATCGGTGCACTCGCACCATCTACCGACTAATATGAATCATTGCAATAGAAATGGATGACATGAAAGTAAAACACCCTGGGTCACTAGAGATGTGGTGCAATCAACATTTTAATTTTAGTCAAAATATACTTTTGATTACAAACCCCACCACAAAACGCCAAGTCATACATTCTATACGTCTGGTTTCTCATTAAATCACATTTAATGGAACAATGACAGTTGCATGAGACACTTGACAAATATATAAATTACATAAATAAATGTGTGAATATATTTATAAAAAATATAAATGAATAGTTTAGTTAATTCAACAGTTTTAATAAGCAGTTAAACCAACAGAACATTCTTAAATATATGAATAAATAGGTTAATTAAATAATGCCCAAGATGCATCGATTCACAAAATTACTATTTCCCCCTGTTAACATCTTCAACAGAACAGCAGCAAACAGCAGGTCAAACAGACGACTGCGATCATACAACATGTGTTTTCCTACTTGGCCGGTGGTGTGTGTGTGTGTGTGTGTGTGTGTGTGTGTCTGTGTGTGTGTGTGTGTGTGTGTGTGTGGATCAGAGGCTCAGCAGGGCAGACATGTGCTGTTTCACCTCCCCGGGGTCGGCCAGAGAGCAGGCGACCACCGCTCCCCTTATCCCACTCCTCGTCTTAGTGGAAGGCAGGATCTACAACATAGTGTAGGAATTAGAACTTGTGATTTCCTTTAACGCTGACGTGGCACGGCAGAGGATCAAAAGCTGCTGTACCTTCACGTATATTTTGCATCTCTCCAGAAGAAATTTCCACTTCTTTGCAGTTCGCTCATCGTCGGTCAGACTGGTGAATTCTTTTGTCTGCAACAGATGAAACGGAGAGCTTAAGTACAGATGCAGAAATAAAGAACTTAGTTGAACATATTTCCAACATGTATCAGAATGCATCTCTCTTCTCATATGTTCTTTTATCCCTGAACATAGGGGCTACTACATTAAGAGCTGATGCTAAATAACCATCCTTCTGTAAATTGGCACTAACTGTGCAGCCAAGTGTCTTCTCTGCCACTGGACCTCTGAGGGTGCAGGCGTGCAGGGTGCCGGTGTGATCTGTGAAGTCCACCAGCAGGTCAAAGCCTGTGGTGGCTGACAGCACCTGATCCGTCCCTGTGCACAGCAGGCTGGTACAACTCTGTGCATCATCAGTCACCTGGAACTTACACCTGGAGCTGAAACAGGAGACAAAACAAATGGATGGATTGTTCACGGACCAGAGAGGCAAAAAGAAGTATCCACACTCTCAGCTTGTATGAGCTCACCACCGTGTCTTGATGACTTTGGAAACAGAGGTGTCGAGGTCGAGTTTGGACATGAAGCTGTACGTGATGCCAAAGAAAGCTTCAGGACTCTCGTGAGCCTTCTGCTTCAGCTGGCTCACCGTGTACACGTCGACAATGGAATCCACTGCAGAGACAAAAGCAGGAACACGTCCATGTCTGCAGCCACTTTCTTAACACAGACTGCATTGTCATCTGTTAATTTGATGTGCTACCTCAGGTTTTAATATTCAACAAGGTGGTTGAAAAGATGTGTTGTATTAGGTTGTGAAAAGTTCCTACCAAAAAATGGTGGGTGGAGATTAAATTAAATTCTAGTGAACATTTAAGTAGTATTATAGTAGTATTGCAGTATTGAAGTGTGTGCTTGTTGGGGACTACTTTCAGCCGTGGATATCACAGTGTAACGGTTAGTATTTAAGGTATTTTGGGTCAAACTCAATTTAAACAACAAAATAAAACTACTTGGGTTCTTTTCGAGATTAAACATGTTAGTGGCTGTGACAGTGTGGGCCCATGGCTTAGAGGAATACACAGCTACACAGGCCACACAGCCAGTACTTGATGTATCAATGCATTGTTAGTTTTGGTTGTTTCATAGGAGCTGCAGACAATTAGAGAATTACACAGTAGAATATCACAAGGAAAAAACTATGATCTCAGCCACACTGGTCTCAGAACTTGAGTGTAACCCACCGGGAACGTCCTCTGGCTTCTCATCTTGATCCAGAGCTCCAGACTCTGACATTTGTTTGGCGAAGCTGAACA